TGTGGGATCTGCCACAGGATAATTCACGATGTCTAACTCTCTTGCTTTTCCTTGAATTCTCCTTAACACATACTTATTCATAAGCAGATACTCAGATCGCTTATATAGTCTATCAAATCCAAAAAAGCTTTAAATGCTTGTGATTTGGACTTTGAAAAATTGTGGTATTGTTCTTTCCCTTATAGAAGCTACGTATTACCTTTCTTGGAAAATTTTTCCATTGAATATTGTGCTCCATAGTCATTGTTAAGTTGATTTAATGTGTATAGCTATGCTTGGGTCTTTTGGGAGGTAGAGAAAGAATGATTTTTATTTTAGTATGAAGGAGCTACAGGAAGGATTTACTAACATGTGCCTCTCATCACCAATCAGAAAACAGTCTTGAGTTATCTATTCACTGAAGAGTCTTCACATTCTTGTAGCAATTATTTAAGGAGAAGTTGGAATTCCAGTTATTTGTAGCATCATTTATAAAGTTTACACACATTACTGAAAAATCAAAGGCTTATCTACTCAGTGTGCATAAATGCCAAAGATGTCAGAGTTTGGGAAAAGAAAGAACTTCAGTGTAGAGCTGGGTCAGTGGGAGGCAAGAGCCTCAAGACTATGATCTAGGGCCTCCCTGGTGGTGCAAGGGGTTACGTCTCAGCACTATCAAGCTATTAGCAGCTACAGCAGCATGAGTTTGATCTGAGGCCAGGGAGCTGACACACATGGCACAGCAGACATCTCCTGTCTTGCCCACTGCTCCCCTCAGCAGTGTATTTCAGTAGATCTGCCTGTTCTGCTCCCCATTTTGTCTCTGGTGAATCCTCTCACCCCGCCACACCTCTGGCCTACACCCAAGTTCTTGTTGCATAAATAAATAAAAATAAATCTTTAAAAAAATTTCATCCTTGAAAAGACGGGGGAATGGGTTTTATAACATTTTGGAAAACAGAGTTTGGAAGAACAAAAAATTGAATTCCGTTGACTGAGGAGTAGGTTGGGTGCATGGGAATGTGGGCTTGGCAAGAGGAACAAAGCAGAAGAACAGAGGAATGCAGAGTTGGTTGAAGACCACTGGTGGTGGTGGGCTAAATAGGAGCCCACAAATAGGTATGTGGGCTAATTGTTAGATCCTTCTGATGTTTAGATGGCTCATGATAAAGGGCTAGACCCAGGTTGCCAGGTTTTCTTCCAGCTTCTGATGGCGGTCAACATTGTGATTGCCTCATTCCAACCTCTGCCTCCATGATTACACTGCCCTCTGCTCTCCTGTCTGGTTAGCATCTTCTTCTACTTCCTTTTTAAATTTTTTTAAAAAGATTTATTTATTTATGCATACAAGAGCTGGGATACAGGCCAGAGGTGTGGGGGGTGAGGGGATTTACCGGAGACAGAGTGGGGAACAGAACAGGCAGATTGACCGAAGTACACTGCTGAGGGGAGCAGCAGGCAAGACAAGAGAGGTCTCCTGCGCCATGTGGGTTGCTCCCTGGCTGGTAGGGGAATCAAATTCATGTTGCAGTGGCTTTGGACAGCTTCATAAGGCTGCGTCTTAACCCCTTGCACTGCCAGGGAGGTCTTCTTCTAATTCCTTTTTATAATGATATTTAGATTGTACTTAGGGCCTATCAGGTAATTCAGGATAATGGCTCCAAAATCATTAATTTAATCACACCTGAAAAGACCCTTTTTCCTAATAGGATAACATTTGCAGACTTTAGGAGTGCTTGATTTCGTAATGCCATAATGTATGTCTTTACTTTCCCAGTCTGTGCTCAAAGCTATATTTGTTATAATATATGAATGTTTGCAATACTTTCCTTAAATCCCATGGTAAACTAAACCTAGAAAATTGTTTTAACTTTACAAAGTATCTTATTTTGCAATAAAAAGTTAATTGCTTCGATTTAGTGATAAATGTAAAGTAGGACACATAGGTTCTTAGATGACAAGCTTTTAAATCTTCTAGGATCCATATGATTTGAGCAATGGTTGAAAGGAATAGCTGAGATGAGAGGAGACGTCTTAAATATTGTTGCTTTATTCATATGTATAAATATGTTTTACAAGAAGAGGGATTAAACACATGCCATGTGGGTTGAACAAAGAACAATAAATTATAGGTGGAAAGAGGCAGATTTCAACTTAATATGAAGAAGAACTCAGAATGAACAATGATAGGGGGCCTCTTCAAAATAAGTTCCTAGCAGCTCTGGAAGTATTAGTGAATTTACAAAGACCCTGGGGACAAATGCAGAGGGAAGAGATAGAGAATACATCCTCAAAATAATCATGAGGATATTTTATAAAAACATATCATCTACTTGTCCACTGTTGGTTGAAATATAAACTGATCTAGCCTAAAGATATGTAAGGTCTCTTTAATGGAAAACAGTATGGAAGTTTTTCAAAAAAATTAAAATAGAACTACCGTATGATCCCAGCAATCCCATTTCTGGAATTGAATGTGAAAACACTAACTTGAAATGATATATACTACCTCTGTGTTCACTGCAGCTCTATTCACAATAGCCAAGCTATGGAAACAAGCCAAGTGTCCAACAACAGATGAATGGATAAAGAAGACGTGATGTACTGGAATACTATTCAGCCATAAAAAGATGAAATCTTACCATTTAACAACATGGATGGACTTTAAGGGGATTATGCTAAGAGAAATACATGAGCAGGAAAAAGGGGATTATGCTAAGAGAAATACATGAGCAGGAAAAAGACGAATACAGTATGATTTGACTCATTTGTGAAATACAAAGAAAACAAGACAAAGCAAACCCTTAGACTCTGACACAGAATGGTGGTTACCAGAGAGTAAGGAGGGGAGAGCAAATAAGTAGAAGGACTCAACTGGTTGATGGCAGCTGGTAGTTGGACATTTGGTGGTGGTTGCAATAAGAAAATGTAATCTTGAAATCTATTTAGTTTTGTAAACTATTGTTACCTCAAAAATAAAACAACAACTCATGCACACAAGGTCTTTTTAATGATTGCTTTTATTTTTTTAAGAATTATTTATTTTTTTATTTTTTTTAAGAATTATTTATGCATACAAGAACTGGGTACAGGCCAGAGGTGCCGGGGTGTGAAAGTATTTACCAAAGACAGAGCAGGGAACAGAACAGGCAGATTGACTGAAATACACTGCTGAGTGGAGCAGTGGGTGAGTCAGAGGTCTGCTGCGCCATGTGGGTTGCTCCATGGCCAGCCGGGGATCAAACTCCTGCTGCGGTGGCTGCGGATAGCTTGATAGGTTGCGTCTTAACCCCTTGCGCCACCAGGGAGGCCTAATGGCTGCTTTTTCCCTAAATAAATCTAAGTATAATAATCTGCCAGTCCATTTTCAAATTACAGCCAGTCACCTTTTTAAAAAAAAAAGATTTATAGATTTATTTTTGCATAGAAGAACTGGGGTGTAGGCCAGAGGTGCAGGGGTGTGAGAAGACTAACCAGAGACAGAGTCGGGAAGCAGAACAGGCAGATCAACTGAAATACACTGCTGAGGGGAACAACAAGGGGAGCAGCAAGCAAAACAGGAGAGGTCTGCTGTTCCATATGTGGCTTAGCTCCCTGACCAGAGATCCAACTCAGGCTGTTGTGACGATAGAGCTGAGTCTTAACCTCTAGGCCACCAGGGAGGCCCCAGAGGAATCTTTTAAAAGTCAAATCTGATGATGTTAGCCCCTTTGATTAAACCCGTCATTGCTAAAAGGACCTCTCAGTGTTGACCCTGTCAATCTCATCAGGAGTTTTTCTTTTTTTTTTTTAGATTTTTAAAAAGATTTATTTATTTTATGCGTACTGCTGGGGTGTAGGCCAGAGGTGTGGGGGTGGGGGTGGGGGGGAAAGTGAGAGGATTCACCAGAAACAGAGTGGGGATCAGAACAGGCAGATTGACTGAAATACACTGCTGAGGGGAGCAGCCGGCAAGTCAGGAGAGGTCTGCTGTGCCATGTGGGTTAGCTCCCTGGCCAGGGATGGAATTCTTTAAAACAAGATTTATTTATTTATTTATTTTATGCTTACAAGAACTGAGGTACAGGCCAGAGGTGTGGGGGGTGAGAGGATTCACCAGAGATAGAGTAGGGAAGAGAACAGGCAGACTGAATACACTGCTGAGGGGAGCAGCGGACAGGAGAGACAGGAGAGGTCTGCTTCATCACGTGGGTTGCTCCTTGGTCAGCTGGGGATCGAACTAGTGCTGCAGAGGCGGTGGCCAATTGCTTCATAGTGCTGTCCTTAACCCCTTGTGCCACCAGAGAGGTCCCTAAAATAAATAAATCCTAAAAAACAAAAGAAATTCAAAGGTGGGCAAGTCTTACACAGTTCTTCTGCTTAGCAAGTCTACAACCAAATGAGGGTAGACATTTTGTCAAGTTAAATTCTATTAAGTGCGGTAAGGGTTATGAAATATACCGGAATTACTGGTGTTATGAAATACCTAATTTAGGAGGCAGGAGAGGAGAAAGAATGGACAGAGGGAGAAAAATGGGTGGTCAGGGAACCCTTTTCTGCTTAAACTGAGACCTGAAAAACGAGTAGACAGGGAGCTATGGGGAAATGAAAGCAATTCAATAGTTATGATCTGGCATCCTCAGTGAAACACCATTCAGGACTGAAGAAGGACACACTGGCAGATGTGGCGTACAGCGACAGTGGCTGTGCACATTAGCCTTGTGCACATTCCCTGGACAAGAATGGTGTGCACATTCCCTGGACTAGAATGTTCCGCACTTCCACATTCACCCAAACTGGGATGCCTCCGATTCCTGGTTCCTTAATCCCGCGGGCTCCCACCAAGCGCAGAAAACTAGGGGCCGCGCCCCGCCCTGCGGCTGACAGCGAGCAGGAGCTCATCCCCCTGCAACCTCACCCAGCACAGGCGCCGGAAGCCCCGCCCACATCCAGGCACGTCCTCCACGCCCCGCCCCTTCTCGCCCCGCCCCCGGCGGAGTCCTCCGGGCGCCTGCTGCCGCGGCGGCCACGTGACGCGCGCGTGACGTAGGAGGAAGGAGACGCCATTAGAGGGAGGCGGAGAAGGAGCGCTGTTCGCCTTTTCCTGGGTGCCTGACGTGGTCGCTGGGGCCCTTCATTCTCCGACCGCCGGTCGGCTCGTCCAGGCCTCGTCCCCGCAGGAGTGGAGACGGCCTCAGCGTTGGCCGGGCTGGGGCGGTGGGGCCTGCGCGGGCCGCGGCTGTAGAGGCGCCGCGGAGACCGTGGGGAACTCGGCGCGGCTCTAGGGCTCGAGCGACCGGGAAGCGCCAGAATGGCTGCGGCCGGCGGCGGGGCGGCGGCGGCGGGCCGAGCATACTCGTTAAAGGTGGTGCTGCTGGGGGAAGGCTGCGTGGGGAAGACGTCGCTGGTGCTGCGCTACTGCGAGAACAAGTTCAACGACAAGCACATCACCACTCTGCAGGTGCGGCCCCGGGGAGCGGGAGGTGGCACCTGGGGGCCCCTGCATCCCCGGGCTGGGAGGACTTTGCTGCCGTGGTCCCCTGCCGTCTGGGGTTCACTAATTGCGGGCCTGTCACCTCCACCTTCCTCTTCTGAATTCGCTCAAGGGACGCTCCGGGTCGGGCAGTCCGTGGAGAATAAAGACAGGCTGTTGGTAGGGGAGGGAGTGGAAGGGCCCTGGGTAAGTCCCGAGGCCACCCCCACCCCCACCCCCTTGGTGGCTGCGCAGGTCTTGTAGTCGCCGTCGGTGGACTCGTTTTCCCCCGTCGATTCGCTTCTGCTTGGGCCCTAGGTGTCCTCTCCACAGTCATCAAATGTCAGATTCTTTCGGAATTAGGAACTTAGCTTCGGGTTTGGTTTTGCGAACTAGGTGATTTTTAACTTCAGCGCTTGCTGATGACTAAGTGTTTATGCAAGTTCCATTTTGTCCTGTCTTCGAGTAACATGCTGATTGGTAAAACATTTCTCTCCGGAGGGTTTTTGAAATGACCGCTTGCCGTTGTGGATTACGCAGTTTCATTGCTGCCTGTGTGGGTCTGACTTGTATTCCGGGTCACTTGTATTCCACGAGGTTAGTATACCGACAGTCACCTGGAAACGCCGTGGAAATATTGGCCAGCTATTGGCTCCCAAAGTAAGAGCTTAGCCGCTGCTACTGTATTCTTTCCCGTAAAACAGAGTCGGCTTTCTGTGTTATGGTTAGTTGGAAAAGTGTTAAAATGTAATCATTGATTGGCAGGGAAGCCAGGCCTTTGAGGCAGTTGTGTTTCTCCGTCGAAATAAATTACTTTGCACATGTTAGAAGAAACATATCCTACTAATCTGATTTGATCACTCTAGTACAGTGAAATCTAGTGGACTTTTGATCCTGATTATTCCATCTATTTAGCGTGATTTTGTGCAAATAAATTAACTTCTCTGTGCCCAAGTTTCTTCATCTATTAAAATGGCCATTATAATATCTGGCTTACAGAATTGTCGAGATAAGTATACATAAGACTACTTAGGACTTGGCCAGTGTAAGCTTGACATCTTTCTTTATTAATGCCTCCCAATTGCATAATAGATCTTAATTAGAGATTGTGTAGTGTGTAAGAACATGGACACTATTTAGTAGAATGCCCAGTCTCCTAATTGTTGTGATTTTTGATGTTTGATGTTACTATTAAACTACGTCTAGAATTTATAAAGGCTCATTCCACAGGCCTAAGATAAAAGAGAATATCATTGTAAGTGAGCTCTAATTTTTTTTTTAAAGATAATTTAGTCCTTGAACCTAAGAATTACACTTTCATTATACATTACAAGAACATTCTTGAAGCTAAAAGAAGACTAAAGAATTTTTAAATATCAGAGAGAAGAACATGAAATTAGATCTCCAGTATCACAAGTATAGCAGTGCTGATTCTAATACTTACAGAACAGCTTTGAATCAAGGATTTTGTTTCCTACCAATGCATGGGAACAGCTTTATAGCTAATCTGATCTCTTTTAGCTATCAGTTCATCTCATGTCTCAAACATTTTTTTCCCAGGGAAATATTTCTTCAGTGTGACTTTAAGAAACAAGTTTGGGGCCTCCCCGGTGGCGCAGTGGTTGAGCGCTGGGTTGCAAAGCTGCCTGCAGCCTCTGCAGCGCCGGTTCGATCCCCAGCTGCTCCCCGGCCACCGGAGGAGGGTCCCACATGGCGCGCAGACCTCTCCTGCCACCCCACATGGCGCGCAGACCTCTCCTGCCGCCCGCTGCTCCCCCCAGCAGTGTACTTCGGTCCTTCTGCCTGCTCTGCTCCCCGCTCTTGGTCTGGTGAATTCTCTCACCCTCCCGCGCTTCTGACTGTACCCAGTGCTTGTATAAACAAAACAAACAAACAAATAAATAAATAAATAACATGCCTCTATAAAAAAAAAAAAAAAAAAAAAAAAAAGAAACAAGTTTGTATGCTTTTAATTCCCAGATGGAAAGGAGATCATGCATCAAAAAAATATGAGAGGAAGACTTATCTCCTTTTTTGTCAGCAAGATTCCTACTACTACCTATCTTTGTACAGTTCTTTATATTTCAAGAGTACATGCTCATGGATTCGTGTTTCAAAGAATTACAGGATTGAGAGGAACCTAAGATCGTTTACAATTTACTGTTTCAGTCTTTTATTTAATGCATTAATCATCTTGGTGGTAAGATGAACTGATACAGAAAGTGGAAAACATTATGTACTGAGGTGGCCTATTTCATATTTGGACAGGTCTAATTTCAAATAAATTTTTCAGTGTGTCAAGCGCAGATCTGTTTTCCTGTAGTTTTCAGTCACAGTTCTGCCTTTTGAATGAGGGTCACACATTTTATGTCCCTTTAGCTATTGGATGATGGTTATCCCATCTCCTTGGTCTTGTCTTTTCTTGGGTAAACAGCGCTAGTTCCTTTAACTGGAACTCTTATGACATTGTTGTAATAACTATTTTGACAACTCTTCTAGACACTCACTATTTAATCATTAAATTATGATGTTTTGAACTGTGGAAATGATTCCAAGTGTGGCTTGAACTGAGCACACATCACATTTGTTTATGAGAATCCTTTTCTTTCTTCCTTTTTTTTTAAAGACTTATTTATTTATGCATACAAGAGCTGGGGTGTGTGTGTGGGTGCTTGGTGAGAGGATACACCAGAGACAGAGTGGGGAGCAAAACAGCCGAATTGACTGAAATACACGCAGAGGGCAGCAGCCGGTAAGACAGGAGAGGTCTGCTGTGCCATGTGGGTTAGTGCCTTGGCCAGGGATCGAGCTAGTGGTACAGATAGCTTCACAGTGCGGAGACTTAACCCCTTGCGCCACCAGGGAGGCCCAAGAATTCTTTTTTAACATTGAAGTAAAAAAGGATTCTGAGCTTCTGGGCAACCATCACGTAGATTAATATTGATTGGACTTGCTGTCTTGGTCTTGTTTTTAAAAAAAAAAAACAAAGTACTGCATCTCTCAAAATCTTCTTCCTTTGATTTTTAAAAAGTTTTTTTTTTTTTTTTTTGTCTCTAATGTATTTGACCCATTAAGTTGGCTTTGAGAGATTTGCTCCATTGGCTAAAACTTAGTAATAATCCTTTTAAATTTGATCCTAAATTTCATTAATCACTGATAGAGTGGGTTAGGTGCTTGGTTGGGTCATGTGCATACAAAAAATAAGGTATGTTCCCTGCTGTCTGGATTAGCTACTCCTTATAACTTTGTCACTTGAAGGTTTAATAAGAATGTCTTCAGACCTTTCCTCACTCACCTGCTGCTCCCCTCAGCAGTGAATTTCAGTCAGTCCGACTGTTCTGCTCCCCACTCTGTCTCTGGTGAGTCCTCTCACCCCCCCGCACCTCTGGCCTGTACCCCAGTTCTTGTATGCATAAATCTTTAAAAAAAAAAAGACTTAGAAAGAGAGAGGGCCAAGTACCAAGCTCTGCAGTAGATTTCAGGATATTCCAGTGATACTTGACCAGGTGGAGCTGTTTTTTTTTTTTTTTTTTTTTTTGAGAGAGAGAAAAAGTTATTATGGAGTATTGTACATATTGATGATGGAAGTGAAAACTAACTTAAGATTGACAGTTATAGGCAAGTATCTAGTGGAGATAGTTTTTAATGAAAATGGCTATTCTAGTATTACAGATCTCCTAACTTTTTTGTACTCACCACAGCAGTTTTGCCTACAGAGGATATCATGAGCTGCTGTGTCAAATGTTTTTGGAAGACATGGCAAGCTGTGTTTCTGCATTAGGAGACAGTAGGATGTGGTGAAAAGAGAAAGAACTTTGAAGTTAGACATGGGTTTTAATTTTGGCTCCTAGTTCATAACCATCTTGATCTTGGTAGGTTAATTTAAGATTTGTAAGCTGGTTCTCTATAAAATGAAAGACCCTTACTCCTGAAATTTTATGGGTGTTACATAGACAGCCATCATATGCATTGCTCCTAGCATGGTGTCTTGCACATACTTGTTTAATGTTTATTGTTGAATGAATAAATAGTGCTAAATTTGCCTTGGTTTCTTCCATAGTAACTCAGTCAAAATGATAATGGGGTTAATTTTACATGACTTATTTGAGAACACATGATATGTCTGAAGGCTCACTGCATTTTAAAAATTCTGAAAAAGAGAGAGGGAGAGAGAGCGCGTGGATGCGCTCATGCGCTTATTATCCTAGAGGTTTTTTTTTTTTTTTTTTAAAGATTTATTTATTTATTTATACATGCACTGGGTACAGTCAGAAGCGCGGGAGGGTGAGAGAATTCACTAGAGCCAGAGTGGGGAGCAGAGCAGGCAGAAGGACCGAAGTACACTGCTGAGGGGAGCAGCGGGCAGCAGGAGAGGTCTGCGCGCCATGTGGGACCCTCCTCCGGTGGCCGGGGAGCAGCCCGGGGATCGAACCGGCACCGCAGAGGCCGCGGGCAGCTTCGCAACCCAGCGCTCAATCGCTGCGCCACCGGGGAGACCCTATCCTAGAGTTTTGACTGGGATTGACATTTGTGGAAATTCACTTCTTTTTTGAAAATTGTGCTTTGTTTTTAAGTTCTGCTTCCTTTTTGCTATGCTCCTCAGAGGACCATAATTATCGATAATTATGACATGATCTTGTTGGTGAACTCCATGCAAACTCAGGATTCCTTCCCTAGTCTAAAAATCTTGATCTCTTAGAGAGTGCTGAGGCTCTCTTATGTGATTTCCTTGCTGACTTTGGGGTGTTGATAAACTTGATAGAGACAAGAAAGACATTGGTGTGATGAGGGAGTTATAGCTTGTTCTTGGAATTTTTTTAAAGCAGCGCTGCTAAACCTGAGCAATAAAAATCAAGAATTGTTTGTTTCATATCTGTCATAATCTTAACATTGTGCCAGCTTTGGGATATAAAGATGAGTAAGGTGCTTTAACTGTTAGCTTTCATGACTTTTTTCTTAAATATTTGTGCCGTTTTGATTGTAACTAC